GCCCCCTATTGCTACACAACAAAACCCATTGTGGGGCTCTGGAGGTTGGCTGTGCACGTATTTTCCAGTGAACCCCTGATGGGCTCACTGCTGGGGTTTCATGTTTCAGGTTGAAACTCAACTGGATAAAGCATTATTCATTGGCACTGACACATTCAGTGTTCTGCTCTGTATAGATATTTCTCTCACACTAGACTTGGTCCCTCACAAGCAGTTTAGGTCATTCACTGAGAGCAATTCACTGCAATTACTCAGAACATGGATAATCTGCACAGGACTATAAAATGTTAGGATTTTTAGATCATGGAAAGATCATCAAGTGGCAGGTTTGGCCAGCTGTGCTCAGAGGTGCAGGTTGGAAAGGAGGAGGGAGCTGAGTGAGTGAGCAGGCTCCAAGTTTCTTCTTCCCAGTCCCCACCTTTGCATTTGCCCGCTTTGTGCATTGCATTTCTGCATAAGATTTCTACAACCTAAAAGCAATCTTGAAATCCAGTAATTGAGTCCATTCACTCATTCATTTCTCAGGTGAGGAAACTGAACCAGTGAGGAGCTTTTGCTAACCTAAGGTTCAGGTGAGCCAGTGAATTAATAGCATGAGAATTAGCGCACACATCTCCCCACTTCTGTATGCCCCATTTGTTATGCCACGCTGAGATAAGTCTGGAATCCATCAGTGGCCTGGTTTTCCCACTGCCTGCCACTGTCTTGTGGAAACACCTTACCTAGAGGATTTAGAGGACTGGAAAGCCCCCAGAACAGCCATATCATACTATGTTTTACCAAAGGCCACCGCAGTTGCACATTCCATGGCACCTCTTGGAGTTGTACAGTACACAGACTAAGATACTGTATGAAACAGCCTTATTTTTACTTTACCTATGTGAGAGCAAAAACTGAAATTTGGCTAGTAGGTTTTGGTCAGCATTGTGCAAGGGAAGAACCCAAGCTTTGGAGCCAGCAGATCCAGGTTCAGATCTTGGCTCTACTACTTACTGGTCCTGGGAATATGGACAAGTTACTTGATATCCCTGATGTTCAAGTTTTTAACTAAAAATAGAGTTGATAATACCTACCTTAAAAATTGCTGTGAAGAACTAAATCCAATAACTTATGTAAAAGCTCTATGTAAAAGCGCATCAAGGCCATGATAAATGTTTTTTTTTTCTTTTTTTTCTTTTTTCCCGGAATATAACTGTTCTTCTTCTCATACACCTAAGGATCTGAGTTGAAATGAAAGACAGACATTGTTAAAGTTCACCCTTAACTTGGAAACTTCTGGATTTTGTCACAGCTTAACATTAACCAAATGAAATTTGGGGTCTCTGTAAATATAGGCTATAGGTTTGTCTTATCTTTTACAGAGCACTTATAAAACTGAGGATTTCTTGGGGGAATATGGCTTTGGGGTTTTAAGAGAAAATTCTGCAAGGGAAAACCGGAAAGACTGAAAAATTTAAGCCCTGTTCCTTTGCCTCTGGAAGCCCCTGGGTGTCCCGTGGGATCAAATGTTGACTGTCCTTGCTGACAGCAAAATCAGATCCCCTCGTTGTACCAACTACCTGAGTGTGTTTGAGACTTGTTAAAATCCTTCTTTATCAGATGTCCAGATGAGAACCATAGGCCCAGAAACTTGTTTTCAAAATCTAGCAAAACAGATGCTTTTGCTTGTTTTTCTCTGCCTCTCTTTGTCCAAAATGTTCACTGAGTTTTCATTGGATTTCGAAGTTGCCTTTTTGTTTTGTTTTTACTTTTAAGACAAACCTTTGAAGAGGGTCACTGTAAAATGAAGGGGAAGGATGGGCATCCCGAATGAGAAAAGCTCTGTTTTAGACTCTAATAAAAATGTTTAAGAACCTGAAGGTGAAGAATCTTAAAGGACAAGAGAGAAAGACCAATTCGTTGAACTCTAAAAGGGTCTACCTGGCATTATCCCCAGGCTTCCAATGCCTCCCAAGCAAATTGAGGTAGGAAAGAGAGCACTACCTTCTCCTCTCTAAAAGCACTGCATCTAACTGAGCAAGGCAGTGTGGCTGGGGCGGGGCTGTGTTGACTGACCATGTGCCATATGTCAGCTGAAGCCCAGGGCCACTCCCAGCGCCTGCATTTTATAGCCAGCTCAGATGTTGTAGGTACTGTATCAATTTTCTATTTCTGCTCTATCAAGTCACAGCAACTTTAGTGGCTTCTAACAACACGTATTTATCTTACAAATACATTGGTCAGAAGTCTGACATGGATCTCACTGGACTAAAATCCAGGTGTCAGCAGGGCTGCATTTTTTTGGAGGGTCTATAGGAAGATCTGGGTTTTTCTTAACTTTTCCAGCTTCTACAAGTTGACCACATTCCTTGTCTCCTAGTCTCCTTCTTCTGTGTTCAAAGCCATCAATAGCAGGTTGAGTCCTTCTCACATTGCATCACTCTGATCTTCTTTTCCACCTCCCTTTTCCACTTTTAGGGACCCTTGGGGTTACATTGGGCTGACCTAGATAATCCAGGATAATCTTACTATTTTCAGGTCAGCTGAATTCCATCAGTGACCTTAATTTCCCTTTGCCATGTACAGTAACATTCACAGGTTCCAGGTATTAGGATGTGGACATCTTGGAGTGGAGGAGACATTATTGCTTACCCCAAGTACATATAATAATTGTATGTATTAGGACTTCTTACGTTTCAAGAAACTGGATCTAACTAAGGTTAATAAAAAGAACAAGATTTTATTGGCTCGTAGAAGGAAAAGTTCAGTTGGCTTTGGGTAAAGCTGGATCCACGTGTTCAACAACATGATTAGAGTCCTCTCTTTTTTTGTCTGGGGTTTCTTGTGGTGGTTTCTCAAGCAAGGGCTATCTATAGGACAGATAAAATAGCTCCCTGGCAATTCTAGGCTCATATAAGTCTTAAGACTCAGGATCCCAGAGAGAAAAACCATGACCGCTTCTTAGATAGCACCAGCCAAAGCCTGAGGGTGACTCTCGTTGACACAACTTGGGTCATATGTACATCCCTGAGACTCAGTCTAGAGCAGCGATGGAATCAATTTTACCAGAAGCACATGTACTGAGTGGGAAAGGGAGTGGTTCTCCAAACGAACTCAGATGTTGTCACCAAAAGACGGAGGAAAGATCTGAACAGGCAAAAGCAATAGGTGTCCACTCCACCATGTTATTACTGGATTTCAGAACCATGAAATTGATACATTATTCCAGTTCAGAGCTCATTAGGCTTCAAGCAACAAGATACCCAAACCTGAAAGAGTACAGAAGAGTCTCACCCAGAGCAAGGAGAAAATTAATTCAGATAGTATATAAGAAGAGGAATTGCATGGTGGTAAACATTGGTTTTGGAACCAGACTGCCTGGGTTTATATCCAAGTTGTTAATTGTGTTTACCTAACCTCTCTGTGCCTCAGTTTCCTCATTGTAAAATAGAGATGATAATAGTGCCCACCTCATGAGTTTGCTGCGAGGCTTAAATGAGTTAATATAAATGAAGTGCTTAGAGTGGTACCTTGACACAGAAAAAGCATTAAATAAAACAATAGCTATAATAATTCTTCTTCTTCTCATATTCTTATTTCTGTTATGAACAAGCACCCTGGGCATGTTCTTAAGGACTTGGAAAGTGGTTAGGAAGCAAGTCTGATACTTTCCTGGTTTCTCCTTTTCTGGCTAGGGCTACACAGTCTCCTCTCTGGAACTTTCTCCACTATATCAGCATGAACTGAGGTTTGCACGTGTACCACAGATTTTTGTATGGCTTTCGATGACCATTCTTCTCCCTCTGGTCTGGACTATATGTGTCCACCACCAAGTGAATGCTGTGTCAGTGTTTCTAAGTTCAAATTCTTGAAAGAATCTGATTAGTCTGGCCAGTGACTGGCTTTAAATAAGGGTGCACTCCGTTTGATTAGCTGTGACTGACAAGGTTAGGGTCACCTTATATACAGGTTTACCTCTTTCATTTGGCATGGAAGGGGCGGGTTAAGCTGAAAGGGTAAGTTGGGCTTGGCCAGAAAATTGACCAACTTGTTTGTTACATGTATGCCTTAGCAAATTAGAATTTACCCACCAAACAAAATAGAACAGTTTTAAAGAATACTGATAAGATCTAGACGTTTTGGAATAGGATAACACTGGGAACTACTTAGTTCTAATGTGATTTAGCCTGTAGTATTTGCAAAGAGAAATTGATCAGTCTCCTATTACCTGTATTTTAAATGGTAGAGACATTTTCAGCACCAATCAGAAATGCTCAGTGGATGGACAAAGACTCATTTCCTTCTACATTGGAACATCAATCTCAAAAACTCATTCCTGGAGCAGAAGTTCCTGGGATTGGAAAAAGCTCACGCCATTGTCAGGAGAGTAGATTCCAGAGTGACCAGGGATGTCCCCAAATCTTCCTTTTGGTGGCAGGAGAAAAGTTCTACATTTACTTTCTGTTTACTGTGTTCCTTCTCACTTTTCAGAGCCCCCATTTTTTTTGGAAATCTCACTCCAGGGTATACAAACCATCTTAATGGACAGAGGTGTCTGTATCAGAGCCCTCATCCTTTTCTCCAAGGACTTAGTGAGAATCTTTCTGAAAAAGTAGTTCCACAGTGATTGCGAGGGAGAAGGAGTACTGCAGAATTTCTTAGCTGTGAGGCACTACAGGAAGGGTGGAAATGCTTTGGATCAGGGCTGGGTATCTTAGGAAGCACTGAGATTTGGGGGAAGACAAAGCATTGTCAAGATTTTGATAGAGGCCTGCTGGGAAAGTCTCCACTGTAAAGGCTCCTGTGCCCCTTTCTAGTGGAACAATTCGTAGGCTCCACGCTTGCTTTCAAATGGATTGGTTTTGAAGCAGTCAACAAAAAAGCATCCTGCTGCCAGGGCCAACCATCAAAAAGAGAAAAGAGAGCAATGCAAACCGTGGGGGAATGTGCGAGAGAGAAATATTGCAGAGCGGAGCCGTGGCTCTGCTGGCCTGATACCATGTGCATTATCTCCCCCAAAGGACCCCGTGGTTTAATGGATGGGGCTTTAACCTACCCAGAGGTCAGTCTCTGCTGGACAAGTGGAACCTCATCCCTGAGGGCATTGACATACTCATGACACATGGACCTCCTCTAGGTAAGTGAAGCAAAGGTTGTCCTTTGTCATCCAGATGCCTTTTTTTTCCAGGCATAATGAATAATGCTTCAGGGACATAATCATTTTCCTCCAAAAAAAAAAAAAAAAAGTGAATACGAAAAGAAAAGTCAATGTCTTTAAAGAAACTCAGTATGATAATTAAACTCAGCAGTTCTGCTGGGCTTACAGGTGTTCTTGAAATTAAATTTTTTGATTTAGTCAAGTCAGGGAAAAATCAAATGAGTATGGTGCACCACAGTCTTTTGAGCTTGATAATTTATTTTAAGAACTGTATTCACTTTGGAGTAAGGGGGTGGGGTGGAGAAAGGAAGGAAGATACAGACCTCCCAATCACAGCACTTTTGAATGGCAATGAAATGATGGAAATTTTTGTTCAAAGGAGCTCATTTTCCTATTCCATATAATGCTGGAACCTGGGAGACCTTTAAAGTTTAACATTTGAGCTGATAATTTTAGAAAAGAATCCTTTTTTTTAAGCTGAGGTATTTCAGTAAGAACTTACGCTGAAAGTTACTTAAGGATACTTATCCTACAGGCACATGGAGCCTGCATCCAGATTTATATTGTCTGTGCTTCAAAGCCTACCCACGAGTGAGCCACATTACGGGTCAGAGAATGATCATTTGACTTATTATCTTCTAATTTTTCTCGAACTTGTTATCTGTTGGTTTAGCTACAGAACATTCTTCAACAAGGACTACCACCCTGATTCCACATCTACTCACTACTCATTATGCCAGGACCCTTTCTAAACAACTAAGGTGTGCTCAAGAAATTCAGGTGTTCCACTTCTAATAGAAGAGTGTTCAATTTTTTCTTTCTTTTTAAAATTGTGGCTAAACACACACACATACACACACATCACATGAAATCTACCCTTTTGACAGATTTTTCAGCGTACAGTGCTTAAAGAGTTTCTTAATCATGTTGGTTTGGAGAGAGGGGAAAAACACTTTCTACAAATATAAATAATTTCCACAAATTTTCATGTGGTTTGGGGTTTTTATCCGTGTTACTCCCCTCCTCTGTCATCCCTAAAAAGAAAAAGAAAAAAACTAACCTTCATTTCCTAATGCAGGTTTAACCTTTGTAGATATTTTCTCCTCCAAGGCACTTGGTGCTTCTCTCCTTCTCCCGCAAAGGAAGTGGCCCATGCTTCACAAAGAAACAGTGGAAGTGAGCACCACAGCGGAGGCCATAGTGGCACATTTTAGTAATGGGGGAAGTAAGAGAAGAAGAGCCAGCTCTCTTGCAGACATGGGAATTGTACAGATTTGCACAGGATCAGCAGTTCCTCACTTTTTTAACACTTCAGAATCACCATTCCCATGCTTTTTCATCATCCCCAGACCACCCTAACCCATGTTTTAAAATATTACACTTGTCAACAACCTTTATCAAGTCATAATTAATTAAGTTCCCTATTTTATAACCGTTAGAGTAGCTACATCATTAAATTGCTAGGTAAATATTCTGATCAGCATGAGTTACCCAGTGAGAGCACCCTACAGAGTTATCTTTTCAGCTGCCTTCATCCTTTTGTCTGAGCAGCCTAATTGGGTGCAGGCATGATTTCCCTTTGGTGTTTATTTCAAGGGACTTGGCCATCTTCAGCAGAGAAACATTTACATGACTGGGGTATTATTTGAAATATAACTTTGAACAGAACAAACTTATCAAGTCATTGATTTTGGTATAAAAGCAAATGGCAATAGGAGTAAGTCTGAACTGTAGACTCCAAGGATTTCAGACATCCCAGGAACTCTTAATAGGGAAGCTAGCATCCCTCTCTTTATGGTAGAGGTGGAGTCAATGAGAGAGTGGCTGTGAGTAGAGAATAGTGACAGCTACATCAAGGAGTTCCCAAATAAAAGGTCAGGCAAAGTTTTCATAAGGTATTATTGAACCTTAGTTGATACAGCTATCGGGATTCTTGTGGAAACGTGACATTGGAGAGGGGAGTGGAAAGATTGGCTTTGAATGTCTTCCTACTGGTGAGGGGCGCCACACTGCTGTGGGACTTCACTATTACGGTATGAGTAAGATGCTTTCTCAGATGTTTGAAAAACACATGCATGAGGTAATATGCCAGTCAATGTAGCTTAAGGATTCTGCCCCACCATTTAAAAAGTTTTGAAAATGCTGAATAAATTTTTGCTAGCGACCTCACTTCCATCTATTCTCAGACTCTCTGGTCACTCCTTAAACCCCCGCAAATGTGTCTTTACAGAGACACTGAACGTTCATGTGTGCAGTTTGGCCCGACAAAGCAGAAAGCTGTTCCTTACTCCCCAGTTATTTCTAAATAATAGAAATAACCTAATGGCGCTGTGGAATGGATTTCCAGAGATTACAATTTAGCCTTTCATCCTACCTGCCTTCTTTATGCCCTATCCTGCTGAGGCGTATGGATTCCATTCCAGGCCATAATCATCCAGATAGCTGACTTTTGCTATAATTGATGTCAGTTTTTATGGATTTTCTGCATTAAGTGTAGAACTAAGTGGCTTTTACTTTAAAAGTAGTCAATTAGCCCCAGCTTGCTGGATGCCACTGTGAGGTCACATTTTTGCCTGTCGCTGGAGAGGACAGGACCACAGCGACAACCTGGCTTTCCAAAGCTTTGGTCATCGGGAACCACAAGAGGTAAGACTTAGTGTATCTAAAGAGAGTTGGGCATCTTGTGACCAGTTTACAGGCAGCCCCTCCCAGACTTTCTTCTTTGAATCATCTTAGAAGTAAACTGCTATAAGAAAGCTATAATAAAAAAGAGAAAGTAACTGAATTGACGGAGAAAGAGATATTATGGGACTGCCGGGAATAAATGTCATTGAGCTCATGAAGAAGATTTGAAACCCATGGCTGAATAAATCAAATCTCTTACAGAAAAAAAAAAATGTTAATTAACAGGAAGAAAAAAAAATGGAAACCAAAAAAAAAATTTCAAGAATCTAAAGAAGACAAAGTGACGAGTGAAAAGTTTCTTAAAAGCCATTGTGAGCTTTAATGGAGGGGCTAGGATTACAGATAATGTAATAAACCTTCTGTGAGTTATGGCTTCCTGAAAGTCTAAATGAAACCTTACCTGAAGAAAGAAAATTAAGTGTATTGATTGCATTTTGCCCTTAGGTTTTCGAGACTGGGTTCCAAAGGAGCTTCAAAGAGTGGGCTGTGTGGAGCTGTTAAACACGGTTCAGAGGCGAGTCCGGCCCAAGCTCCATGTGTTTGGTGGAATCCATGAAGGTAAGAACAGCGGAAAAGAATTCAAAACATGTTATGTCTCTATCCATGATCTCAGTCTACAACTAGGAATAACTGGAGTAGTTGTTTTCAAACTTTTTAGCAGCGAGACCCTTTTATAAGATGAAGTCTTATGAGAAATATCTGCATATAAAGCTGATAAATATTTTATGTGGACCTTCTCTCTTGTAAGCAGAGTGAAAAGTAGGAAGCACGTCTCGTCTACTTTACTGCAAACCCAGCATTCCCCCTGGCAGCTTCTGGAATCTCAGGGCTTTAACGAGGAATGTTTGATAACCACTGCTTTAGAGCAACTCCGAGGTACACAAGGAGTCATTTTCTCCTTAAGAGAGTTAGAAGAAAAGGTCTGGATATTAGAAGATATTTTAAGCCTGTATAGTCCCCTCCTACCTGTAAATATTGTGTTTCATACGGAATTAACACAAAGACCCAGGAAGACAAGGCATTCTCTGAAAAATAGCTTGGGACATGCAGTGAAAGGTATGTAACAGAAGTGGCGGGAACCTGCACATTTGCAGGTAGACTTTTCCTTACTAACCTCAGAAAACTATTTCAGACTTCTCAGAAGTCAACAGAGCTATTAGCTCCGGCTGAGGTTAAGCAGAATAATTAAATCTGTCTTAAATGGGAACTGGTCCAGTCGCCGTTTTTCTGCCTTTCAAGGTAAGCTGAGTCAGGTTCACAGAACCAAAAGCCTCACAGGAACCTTCAAGGGATCTGGGTTTTCTCCAACCCACCTTTTTCAAATCATGGGTAACTGGGCTTTGGGACAGACACAAAGCCTTCTTTCAGCAAGCCTAAGGGTTTCTGTCCCTAGCCGACTTTCCCAGTTTCACACGCTTGTGTGCAATGGCCGTGTTTACGTGGGCAGCCGCTATATTCTCTCCAGCTCCTGCTTATGGCAGCTCTCTGGAGTTATTTATGAATCTGCAGTCAAGTTGAGGTGTTTAAGGCTGTGTGCCTGAGGAAGCAAAAAGCAAAGTTGGCTTTTTCGAAGCCCACAAATCCAGTGGCTTCCTGGTTAGGTGGGTAATAAAGAGCATATTGAAAATCATCCTACTGAGGCCGGAGCAAATTCAGCTTGCTCCAAGTGCAGGTACCAGCTGAGTGGGTGGAAAGCAGGGTGCAGCTCCCAGAGAGTGGATGTCAGCCTGCCCTGGCTTTGAGCTGTGCTCCCTGTAAAGGAGGATACTGCCCTAAGGTATGATGGAGGGAACACCAGTGATGGGGGAGTGCCTGAAGGGGAGACTAGGGAGGTGGGACCTCATATGTAAACTAAGCAACATTTCTGGGGGACTGTTATTCTGAAAACAGATCTGAATTCCTGCAGCATGCCTCTGAGTTTGCATTTTATCCTTAAAAAAAAATCATTAATTACCTTTAAACTAGCCAGACAATTGGGGAATTCCACCGAAGCCCCAAAATAATAAACTTGCCTAAAAGGGAGGAGATCATATTCAAATAAACTTGTCTCACTTTTATTCACTTAAGACAGCTGAAGAGGGCAGGAAGAGGGCAAATACCAACCTCTTGATGGAGAGAGATAACAAGACTTTATGACCCCAGAACTAAACAGCGCAGATTTTAAATGCCTCTTTTCTTTTCTTAAGGGATTTTTCCATTGACCCTCATTAAGTTCTCCACAGGCTTACTTGGAGAAATTTTAGCAAATGTGGAAAAAAGCCTTTTCAGTTACTTCTATATATCTTGGTAATTTTATTTTTTTCACAGCTATATTTTTATGCGCCACAAGAGCCTGATACCCACATAGAATTACAATCTTAGTTGAAGAGGCTATAAGGCAAATATAAGGTATTAAGGGAAATGTGCAAACTTGCAAACATGCTAAACATTTTAACATAGTAAAAATTATCAAGGGAAAATATATACCAAACACCTAGGGAAACAGCTTTCTCCCAATAAATCACAAAAGGTTTATATTGCATATGGGAAGTGTTTTTGCTTAATCTAGTATCCAGGTAGGCTTAGGAAACAGTGACCTAGGTGATGTTTCTACACATCACTTGGGCATGCGATTAGTGGACACTTTTGAATGAAATGGAATTGTATTAAGGCCACACAATTCAAAAATCATGTATGGTTAACTTTCGTAAAGGCAGTTAAGAGATTATTTCATAAATAATTAAATTAAGTGTCTACATTTCTTAACTCTCAATGCAGTATCCTTTCCCCCTCACCTACCCCATATCACACTTGGAATTTGGCTGTGTTTGCCCCTGAGGAGTAATCCTTCTATCACTCATTTTATTCCCTAGAACTCAACCGTTAACACAAGGCTTTGAAATGAAAATCCTATTTTAAAAGGAGGAAAAAAAGTTTTTCTTTATTCTCCCTGGTAAAGAAATCACAGCCCTTCTTCAACAAGTTTAGCATGGAAATAAAGAAAAAAATAATAGCTCTTAGTTGAAGAAGATTCTCCCGTTTAAAGAAAATAGAGTAAAATTGGGCAGTAGCTTCTGAAAGTCATTATATCTGAGGAGGCTCAACTGAATTTCATCTCACTGCCCACTGACAAAATTTTTTTGTTTTCCTTGCCTGACAGCCCTACATTCCGTCACTCTCATTTGTATATATTACAGTAAATGTGACACTCTCTCCCCACAGGTTATGGCATCATGACCGACGGTTACACAACGTACATCAATGCCTCGACGTGTACAGTCAGCTTTCAACCGACCAACCCTCCAATTATATTTGACCTTCCAAACCCACAGGGTTCCTGAAGCTCTAAATGCCCTATTGGAATGTGAGGGAAGGTCTATAAACTGCCATTTTTCTAATTATAAACTTACATTCTCTTACTTATTTCCAAACCCTGTGAGTTCTTTTTGTAAATTGTTGGAACACAAATGATGCTAGAGGTTGTGCTTCTTCTTTATTTTATTTTATTTTAAATGGGGCATCCATTTGAAATCAGAGGAACATTGTGAATTTGTAAAATGACTTCTGTTTTCTCAAAGGCCATGCCATTGTAAATTGTTAGTGTTCGCCAAAGGACAGCCAAGCTTTCTTTTAAAAAGTGATAAAAGTCTTATTTTAATATGCTTTAAGCTGAAAGAAAAAAATAAGAAACAGGTAGGCAGTGTTTTAAAAACCAACAGAGATTTGCACAACTGTTTAAGAGTATTGTTTGAAATATTTTAATTTTCGATGTTTTGTTGTTGTTGTTTTCTTGGTAATGCTTCTTTTTTGCAGATGTGGTCCCAATTTATAGCAATCTTCTCAACAGAAGCAGGCATGGAAAAGACGTCTTTTCACACTCACTATAAAGAAAGCTGCATTGAGAAGAAAATGGCTGTCATTTAAAGGATGGTTTAGCTAGTGAGATTCCTATTGTGGTTATACAAGGTCTCTTGTTTGTTTGTTTCTTTTAAATTATTTTAGCTTTAAAAATGCAGAAATGGAATCTGTCAAGAGCAGGTATCTCATACAGTTAAAAAAATGAACATGCAGACTCCTTTTCAATATGGGTTTATATATATAAGTATTTTTTGTGTATTATGACTACGTTAGGAGTTTAATATTGCCAAGGACAGTACAACTGCAAAGGGATGCTGTATAGCAGCACATCAGAAGTCGGAAGGAACTGACATATTTTCTCAGAACTCAAGGTCTTAAAGAGCTTGAGTTAAATCTAGGTACAGTTACAGGCGTGTATAGACTTAAATGGATGCAATGGAAGCTAACTAAAATAAGGCTTAGTTGTCCTTTCTATTTAAATACCCCGAATTGTCTTCTTACTTCCTTTCCCCCCTCCCATTTTGCACTGTGTGTCGATGCAATCTTCGCTAGCACAAAATATTGTCGCTAATAGTCATTTCTGTTTTCCCATTGTAAATGCTGTTGAGCTTTATTCTATTTTACGTTACCTTGTTAATGAAATTTAGGAAAGCAGTTGTTTCTTTAAATTTATTGTGATATTCTATATCTAGCGGCCTTTATATGCAAATAAAATTGCAAGATTTTTAAATTCGTGCTGTTTGGAGGGTTGGCTGGTGGAGGATGGTAGTTTCGTCCTGAGGAAGGAGGGATTTATTCATATGTAGCATCAGTAATGCCTTTCAGAAGAATTAGAGTAAGTGATTTTTTCCCCTAATTTTCAATAAATTTTTATTACCCACCATTCACAGGCTGGCAGATAGATCGATAAGGCACTCAGTGCACTCTTTCCTTCCATCATGCTGTCATCTCTCTTGCCTTAGATTTCATCTTTGGCTGTTGTAATTTCTACAGGAACAGAGAGACTGCAGTTAAGGCTGTGGATGTATTTTGGGCAAGTTTGTGATAGTGAGTTTAGGGAAACAGTCTATGACAGAGTAATCACTACACATTCTCATCTTCCCCAAGAGCAGTCACCATCTCCTTCTCACTGGTTTTTTTAGTGATGCCCACCCACAAAATGCTGTGGCAACCAAGAGGGGATAGGCAGAAGGGTGGCGAAAAACAGATAAAATAAAAAACATCACACGGAAGAACCACTGAAGCAAAACAGCATAATCTTGGATCTGCAGTGCACCCCCAAAGTCTTATGTGTCAGGGCTCGTTGGATTATATTCTGGATATATGTTTCTTCCTTTCTACTCATTGTGGATCCTTTGGTGCAATTTCTGAAAGGAATTCTTGATTTCGGTACCAGCAGAATTTGAGAGAATGTTCTAGGCCAGAATTCCCGCTCAGATTCACATGTAACCATCTTGGTCTGTTGTAGTTATTAATAGTTATTAAGTATCTTGGATGTCACCATAGGCTGTGGTGGACATTTGGGTCAAGCTTGCAGAGCAGATGCTTGAGCTTCCCATGGGCTTCCTAGAGGGAGCTCATGACCGTCGCAGCTAACATGGACCAAAAGAGGTACTATGACAAATGGACCACCCTTCCTTGACCTTCTACATCAGTAGAAGAGGGTGTTCACGTAAAGCCACATCCTAGGGGGTTGGAGTGAGAGGTAAGCTACTGAACGGCAATTTCATCTGGTTAGTGTACCAGAAGCCAGAGACTCAGGCCTGTGGCTTCTGGAAAAACAAGCCTCCCAGACATAGGTGGGTAATCATGATGACAAGTGTGTATGCACAGCCCTTGAGAGTTCGTCTGGACACAAACTAATTGAGCTAAGCACTTACTAAAATTGCTTTCCATTTTGTGGAGGCAGGAAGCTACCCAGTGTACTAAATCTAGAAGGCAGACTCGTTTGTGGATAAAGCTTTCTTCAGCCAGTCCACCATTTCATATGCACGAACTGCCTCTGAAGCATTCGTAATCACTGTCCAGATGCCCAGAGCTTTCTACGCCGGGCCTTACAACAAGGAAATATTCAAAACAGCTCTTACAAATTGGGCACTTCCTATCCTTCCATCACCAGGCACTCTGTTGAGCAGGTTGTGTATTTTGTTTCTAATCTTCACAGAATCCTGGGTAAGGTCACATAAGCCCCACTTTACAGATAGGAAAGTAAGATGTACCAAAATTAAATAACTTTCCCTAGGAAAAATGGAAGGTTCAAAAGCAGATCTGTACATAGCCCATGCCCTTTTAATCCTTCTGTGTCTGGACTGGATAAGTTGATGCCCTCTGAGAGCTGATATAAGACTGGTGGCTGGGCACAGTGGCTCACACCTGTAATCCCAGCACTTGGGAAGCCGAGGTGGGTGGATCACAAGGTCAAGAGATTGAGACTATCCTGGCCAACATGGTGAAACCCTGACTCTACTAAAAATACAAAAATTAGCTGGGTGTGGTGGCATGTGCCTGTCATCCCAGCTACTTGTGAGGCTGAGGTAGGAGAATCACTTGAACCCGGGAGGCGGAGGTTGCAGTGAGCGCCGAGAGAGTGCCATTGCACTCCAGCCTGGGCGACGAGCAAAACTCTGTCTTAAAAAAAAAGAACAAAGAGAGAGAGAGAGTGAGAGAGAGAGAGAGACTGGCACAAGCCTGGAGATATATCCTATCCCTCAAGTAGCAGCTCCCTGAAACACCCTGCAGTGTGGCTCTATGACAACCACAATGGCACCACATCCTCTCCGCCGAGGGCCAGCACAGCACGGTGGATAAAGGCACAGACCCTTGGGACAGCATCCCTGCCCACAGACTGGCCCCACCTCGGACTCGTGCTTATTTCTTTGCCTGGGTACTCACTTTCTCTGTAAAATGGGGGTGATGAGGAGGAGGAAGTTGTTCTAACTGCCATATGAATTCATGGTTGGAGGTGACTCTGATATCTAGTAAGTGTTGCACATGTGTTTGTTAAATAAGGTCACCCACACTTTGTCTTTAGATTCCTCAGGCAGGATTCTGTACTTTTTTTTTTTTTTTTTGACAGCATCTCACTCTGTCGCCCAGTCTGGAGTGCAGTGGTGCAATCCCAGCTCACTGCAACCTCCGCCTCCCAGGTTCAAGCAATTGTCCTACCTCAGCCTCCTGAGTAGCTGGGACTACAGGCCTGTGCCACCGCGCCCAGCTAATTTTGTATTTTTTGTAGAGTCAGGGTTTCCCCATGTTGCCCAGGCCAGTCTCCAGCTCCTGAGCGCTGGTGACCCGCCTGCCTCGGCCTCCCAAATTTCTGGGATTACTGGCCTGAGCCACCGTTCCTGGCCTCCAGGTAGGGTTCTGCCTGTTGACTCTCCAACCTACAAAGCAGCAGTGGTGTTGTTTCTGAGAAAGTTTGCTTGCATTGATTAGGAACTGTAACAAGCCTGTCTTCATAAGGATAGGAAGAAGCCCAAGGACATTAGTGAGAGACAGATAAGGGAGCCTGACTTCCCAGTTTGGCTATCGTTCTTTGCAAAACCACTTCTAATCTCCCAAGAGGAGGGGGTTTCTCCTCTTTCAAGTTTCTTGGAAGGGCATCCACAGATCTGCTTATTTCTCACAGCATCTCTCTGCCCTTGCAATCTTTCCACTCCACCTCACCATCCCCTTTTACTGCAATTAGTGAATTCTTTTCTATCTGTTTTTCACACAATCCCCTTTTGTCTTATGTTGGGAGGTTGCTGAAATCCCTTTAGAAACAGGTCACTGTTATTCTGACAGGTGGCCAGCCTTAAGCCTGCCTTCATCTCCATCATTTAAGTAAATAAATACCGTGACCTAGGTCTTAAGTAGGGAGAAACGGAAGCTGGGAGGATTTGGGATTTGTCAATTGCGGAAAAAACACTTGCTGTGTCTCAGAATAATGCCCCATTCCCCACGCTCATCCAGCAAGGATGTGCAGCTTTGGCAGAGTCAACATCCAGATACTATTTTGCTTCCTAGTCTCTTTTCATACCCTATTCCTACTTTCCTGAAAGTTTTAAGATGCTTTTTGTGTAATTATTAAACAAAAGTGAATTAAGATCTCCTTTGTTTTGAGGATTTGGCCATGAGCTGAGCATTTGGAAACACTGCTAGGTATGGGGTAGGAACAGTTGCCTGTGGGGAAGGTTCCAGGATGGGACAGTCTTAATGTGTTGTTTCACAGAAGGCTCCAGGACCACTTCTGGATGTCAGATTCTTAGCACAAAACTTTGTTTGTTTGTTTGTTTGTTTGTTTGTTTTTCTCCTATCTTGCATTAAATGGCAGGATGTGTTGGCCTTCTAGCATCACTCTTCCAGAAGTTTAGAGCTACTTTTCCCTTCCTTTTCTAAGTGTCCCCTCTACCTTCCTCCTCCTACTTTGCTCTTCCATGGGAGAGAAAAACACTGATTCAGAAAACTCCCTGAGAAGCTCCAGTCTTCCCTGGTGCCCCTATAAAGTCAGTCTCTGGAGATAGGAGAGGTTCAGAGAGGGTCAGTGGCATCACCATGGTCACAGAGCAATTCAAAGATAATGCTCCACTTTGGCATTTGGACATTCCATTTTGAGCATGAACTGATTTTTCAGCTTGACATTCAGAAATAATCAAAGATGGAGAGATCAGTTTTGGCCTGACATAGTGTGATTTTGTAGCACAGGAGAAGCTGCCAGTCTATGAAGAGAGAACAAGATTATTTGAAAGAAACCTCAGAATCTGAGGTTTCCCATTAATGTTCCCATGAGGATTCATTTTCCTTTTCTTCAACCCGTCCACCCGCAACAATTCCGATAGGCTTCCAATTCCTCCTTCTACAAGAGAGATGGGTGCTCAATTTCTACCTCAGAACATGATGGCTCTTTGACATGCGTTTTGACATACATGTGTATATCAGGTCTGGAAGCTGTTGGGTGTTGGGAAGAGCACCCAGCTTTGGAATCAGACATGCTGGGTAGCCTTGGATGTGCTCTTTTACTTCTCTCAGCCTCAGATTCCACACTTGTAGAAAAGGAATCATTCCCATTTTGCAGTGGATTTGTCAGAATTGATATGGTAATATCGACAGAACCCTGGGTAGAGGATTTTTATTCTGTCAATTGTAATTTCCTAAAGAAAAAGAAAAAAAGGCAGGAGCAGAGGGCAAAAACAAAAGTTTATATTATTTTCTGATGACCACAGCCCTTCATGAGAGAAAGCTAATGCCTTGAACTGGACTGTGTAAGAAACTATACAGAAAATGAGTTCTTTAACTTTCTCTGTCTCTGAACTATCTGACAAAATATTTGTGGTGGGTTTTTGTCAACTCCTCCTCATTTCCTTCCTGAATTAAGGATGCCTTACAAGACAAAAATCTTGAGGTAAAAAGGCTCTTTCATATCTGACAGCATCTATATCTGGGTAATGGTGAGAGAGAGAAATGCATTTCCATTAGGAAGCACAGCCACAGTGGAACTAAAAGCACGGATAGACTAAACACATGAACACAGAGAGCCTCCTCCCATCAATCAGCTTAGATTTTTATGAAGCCACAGTTACCATGAGGTACATCTGAACACTCTCAGCGCCTGCTTGCCACAGGGAAAGGGCCTGTGATTTCATAGCCCATTTCTGTCCTGACCTTAGTTGATGACTTTGGGAATAGGTTGAGCTTTTCAGTTGGAGATCCTGAAATCACAAATGACTTGGAACCCAAATGCTCCCTGTTTGC